TTGGATTTTTCGGTCGGTTTTTGCATCGGTTGGCTAGGCCGTGGTTAAGGCAAAAACCATAGGTTTTTGGCTAACCACCCACCCAGCGATGGGAAGAACATCCCATCGATGGGTAAGTAGCCCCTTAGCCAAACCAACTTCCAGAACCATGCCAAACAGCGATGGGAAGCTCTACCCATCGCTGTTCAAGCCTTGGTCCAACATTATCACAAGGCAGAATGCCCTTACCCAGCGATGGGAAGCTTTACCCATCGATGGGAACCCAGCGATGGGAAGGCTAAACCATCGATGGGAAGGCATGACCGTTGGAAGTCATTTAAGGTTGATTCTTTCCTTGTTTGGAAGTCAACCTCCCACCCAGCGATGGGAAGCTTGTACCCATCGATGGGTAGATAACCGTTGGCTTCAAAAACTGAAGGAAAATTGGCTTACCAGTGATGGGTAAGTTCCAAACATCGATGGGAAGCCAATATCCTGCAGATCCCAAATTTATTTAATCCCTTAAATCAAGCCAATCACCCCTTTAATGCATTGGTCCATTGGAGCCTATTTTGGCACTATAAAAAGGGGTGTTTGGGTCTGCTTTTCTCATCAATTCACTTCACAATATTCATATCATCATTGAATTAAAACAACATCATTTTTCATAGCTTTCTAGAGCCAATTTGTGAAGTTTGAGTTGTTCTTGAGCGTATATAGTTTACTCAACATCTACTCTAAAAGAGAGCCTTGTTCTTGAGTGTCTTAGTGTTGTAAACACGTTTAGGGAAGCTTGTTTCCCTTGGTTGTACGAAGGAAAGGTATTTTTCCTTCGGGTTGAAGTCTTAGAGTGCGGTATCTCCGAGCAAGTGTTGTTGAGGCTCGTGGGACTCGAGTTCTCAGGTTGTAACGGTTTGTTAAGCACCCGTAAGCTTAACAGAAGTAGTGTAGCTCGAGAGAGTCTCTCGGGAGGCTGGATTAGCCACAAGTTGTGGTGAACCAGGGTAAAATTCGGTGTGCCTCTTACTCTTCTCTTTACTTCTCTTTTAAGTTTTTTTATTCCTGCGATTTCTACGATCAAACGCTATTCACCCCCCCCCCTAGCGTTGGTCACTTATTCTAACATTCTCCATTGGGTCTCAAGTCCTTTATTATCTTTTTCAAATAAATGTCGAAAGTTTAGTTTATGCCATGCATGTCAATTGGGGAAACATGTTCGTCTTCCCTTTACTTTATCCACCCGTAATTCTACTTTCCCTTTTGAACTACTTCACACTGATTTATGGCAATCCCCTGTTCCCAGTATTACAGGTGTTAAATTTTACATGTTACTCTTGGATGACTACTCTCATTATTTATGGGTCTTTCCTCTACGACACAAATCTGATGCTTACTCACACTTAACCAAATTTGTTGCTTTTGTTAAAAATCAATTTAATTCTACTATTAAAGCTGTGCAATGTGATAATTGAACAGAATATCGAAATTCTCCCCTTGCGTCAGTTTTTGACTCTTTGGGAATAGTGTTCCGTTTCTCTTGTCCTCACACTAGTCAGCAAAATGGCCGAGCCGAGCGCACCATTCGCACCCTCAACAATACCGTTCAGACTCTATTTTTTCAGGTAAACCTTCCTCCCAAGTTTTGGGTAGAAGCCTTACATATGGCCACACACCTCTTTAACATACTACCCACCACCACAATTCAAAATCGTACCCCTCATGAACTTTTATATCTCAAAACTCCCACATATTCTCATCTTCGAGTTTTTGGCTGCTTATGCTACCCAAACCTAACCGCCACAACACCCCATAAACTTTCCCCACGCTCGGCCCGGTGCATTTTCCTTGGCTACCCATCTAACCAACGCGCCTACTGGTGTCTTGACCTTCAAACTAACAAAATCATTATTTCACGACATGTCATATTCGATGAATCCACGTTCCCCTATAATCACTCACCTTCTCCTGATAATTTTGATTTCCTTGACTCCATGGAGGATGACGACTCACTCTATCACCGTCAAAACCTCACCTATTCCCCTCTTGCGTCTTCTCCCTCGGAACACGCCCAACTCTCCCCCTCACTCACAATCCAAACCCCATCCCTCTCTTCGGGAACCCACACCGAATCTAATCCAAGCTCGTTGTCCACAACCCAACAACCACATCCCTCTCTCAACACCCACCACATGGTTACACGCTCCAAAGCGGGCATCACCCGTCCAAAAACCATTCTAAATCTCAATACAACCGCCTCTAACCCCATTTCCCCCCTACCATCCACTTATCGCAGTGCACTAAAAGATCCTAACTGGTATGATGCTATGCGTGATGAATATAATGCTTTAATTAAAAATAATACATGGGAACTAGTACCTCCTTCCCCTAATGAAATTGTCATCACTGGAAAATGGCTTTTTTGTCACAAATTTGGTCCCACAGGTGATCTATCCAGGTACAAGGCTCGGTGGGTGGTCTACGGCTTCAATCAGCGTTATGGTGTTGACTATGCAGAGACTTTTAGCCCGGTGGTATAACCTGTGACTATTCGTATAGTGCTCAGCTTGGCATTGTCCTGCGGATGGCCAATTTATCAGTTTGATGTCAAGAACGCCTTCCTTCATGGAAACTTAGAGGAAACAGTTTATGCCACTCAGCCATCTGGGTTTCAGGATCCCTCTCGACCGCATTATGTGTGCAAACTCAAGAATGCACTTTATGGATTAAAGCAAGCACCCAGGTCATGGTATCATCGGTTTGACACCTTCATTCAGTCGCTCGGTTTCCGAGGATGTAAAACAGACACCTCACTATTTGTCTACACTCTTGAGAGGGACACAACTTATCTTCTTCTTTATGTCGACGACATTGTTCTCACAACTTCCTCTACCTTGCTACTTCATCGCATCACACAGCAACTCAAGGGGGAATCTGCCATGACGGACATGGGGGATATTCATTTTTTCCTCGGCATAAATGTTCAGCGGACAAAACACGGCCTTTTTCTCCATCAAACTCAATTCACGCATGACATCCTAAAGCGTGCTGGGATGCAAACATGCAAACCCATATCCACACCTGTTGATGCAAAAGGTAAGCTAGGGGCGGCCAGCGGCCCTCCAGAGGAGGACCCGACCCTGTATCGCTCAATTGTTGGTGCTCTTCAGTATCTTACCTTTACTCGACCGGACATCACTTATGCCGTCCAGCAACTCTGTCTTCATCTTCATGATCCTCGGGTTCCCCATCTAACAGCCATGAAGCGGGTCCTCAGATATTTGCATGGGACAGCCACATACGACATCACACTTACCTGTTCTTCAACAGATGCTTTGCAGGCCTATTCAGACGCTGACTGGGCTGGATGTCCAGACACTCGCCGCTCTACATCTGGCTATTGTGTATTCTTGGGTGATAATCTAGTTTCATGGTCCTCCAAACGACAAGCTACCACTTCTCGCTCTAGTGCAGAGGCTGAATACCGAGCAGTGGCAAACGTTGTAGCTGAGACTAGTTGGATAAGAAATTTGTTGCTGGAACTCCACCAACCATTACGTCATGCCACCTTAGTCTTCTGTGATAATGTGAGTGCAGTTTATCTTTCCTCTAACCCTGTTCAGCATCAAAGAACCAAACATGTGGAGGTAGACATCCACTTTGTCCGAGACAAGGTCGCCTTGGGTCGGGTTCGAGTTCTACATGTTTCATCATCCTCACAGTATGAAGACATTTTCACAAAGGGATTACCATCTCTGATATTTCTTGATTTTAGAGACAATCTTGGAGTCTGCTCAGTACCACCTAGATAGCTGGGAGCATGTTAAATATAATATTTATTATATTTAATTATATGTATATATTAATTATTATTTACTCTAGAATTCTCTAGAGAAACTCTTGGCCTAACCTTTACACATGTATAAATACTCTTGTATACACATACCAATGGCATTTAAGAAATAGAAATATTCTTATCATTTTACACCAACTTTTATATATATATATATATATATATATATATATATATATATATATATAGCCGTTGGATCTGATGCATCGTGCGGCTCAGATTGCATCATGCGCTCAAATTTTGAGATAGTGCATTTTTAAAGGATTTTGGTATATTTTGACAGGATGCATTTTTAAATCATTTTGGTGCACCTAATTTTGATTCAATCCTGACCCTTAGATTTCACAATCTAAAGTACCAAATTTATTCTCATTTCTCTCCTAAGATCGCATTCTCACCAGAACACACACACACACACATAACGAAGTAGAATGTACATGTTTGGATTAAATATCACGGAGCAAAATAAAAAATAT